GCCAACTATCGTGCTTCACATGAAGGTTACTAAAAGTCTTTTATGGGTGAGTTCCATGATCAATGTGTTGTGAACAAGTTTTAAGCTTTTATTTCTTTTTTTTATTTGGACAAGTTTGTGTCACTCTATAACTAGGACTAAGTCCCTTCTTGTTTATTTGTACATGAGGTGATGCAATAATGACGTCATAATATATGTAAATGGAAGTTTAATTTTTCTATCTCATATAACTCTGCACAGCTCTATGGACATTGTATCTTTGATATTGGCTTCCGCTAGCACCTTTTTTGCTAATCTGTCTCAGAAGCCTTTGGTAATCTTAGGATTACTGACCAGTTATGACGTTAAAACTATAGGAATGGGTTTAGGTCGTGACAATACCTTTCACTTAACTCTATAAATACTTGTGTTTGTTCACATGTATGTGTTGCTAATTCTCTCCATGGTTGGATTGTAGACTTAGAAGCAACCGACACAGTCAAAGAAAGAGTTAAGTTCGTGAATTACAGAAAGATACATGTGGATAAGCAGTACGTTACTTTGGGTAATGGAATCCAGAGGATGTCTTTAGAGTTGGTTCTTATCAGCTCAAAACGCGTCTGAGGCGCACTTTACTCCTCCGTGATGTGCTTTATGCACCTGGTATCTAATGTAATCTTTTATCAATTATTGTTTTGCTAGGATTTGATTTTAGTGGTAGTCAGTTGGATTTCTATTTGAATAAAGTCTTGTAAGGACATGATTTTCTTTTCAATAATTTCTTTATGCTAGATTTGGATTTTTTCTCATATTCATATGTGTCTTATGATAATGATACATTAAATTCTGTTAATTGACATGCTAGACTTTGTCACATAGGAAAAGATAGAATGACTAGACTAGCTAAAGAAGGCCTATTACGGTATCTTGCTATGTAAGTAAGTCTTCTTGTGTGTGAGCCTTGTTTGGCAAGAAAGGTCTGTACAAAGCCTCTTGGAAAGGCACCTAGAGTTTTATATCCTTTAAAGTTAGTTCACTCTGACATTTGTGGACCAATGAATATAAAGGCACGCCATGGCACTTCTTATTTTCTTACATTTATTGTTGACTATTCACGTTTTAATTATGTCTATTTGATCTCACATCGCTTTAAGCCATTGGATTGCTTTAGGCACTTTGTTGTACTAGTTAAGAATTAGACATACAGGAAATTGAAAATCCTTCTAACGGATCGAGGGTGTCAATATTTATCACATAAGTTCCAAGGACTGTGTAAAGAAAATGGGATACGTAGGTAGTTTAACGATTCTAGGCACTTCGCAACAAAAATGGTGTAACGGAGAGACGAAATCACACTTTGCTTGAAATGATTCGATCGATGATGGCACAAGCCAACCTCCCTATATCCTTTTGGGAGATGCTCTTTTGACTGCAACCTACATCCTTAACCATATGTCTTCAAAGTCAGTTCCAACTAGGGCTGTGCAAAATACCGCCCAATCCACTAAAACCGCATTGATCCGTATCAATCTGCACTATTCTATCCGCTAACTGAGGTTTAAAATTTAAAATTTAAAATTTACAATCTGTCTTCGAAACCACTTCGTTCTGATTTGATTTATTGGGTACTGTATGTTGCTATTTGGGCGATTTGATTTTGTTCAACAGTGGAGCTCTAGGCTATTTGGTTTTGTTCCGTTCTAGTGCACCCAACAAAAGTTAGATAACCATCTCCAGATTTAATTCAAAAATATTAAAAGAAAATTTTATAAAAACTAAAGATTTCATTTTTTTACTTATTATTCACCACCATTTCTTTGTCCATTGCATTATTTTATGATCAAAATATTGTGATCCAACTTTTATAAGGAGATGTGCAATAGAGAAAATGAAATGAGAAAGGAATAAGAAGAGGAATATGGTTTAAAGGAAATAGGTACAAAGAAATATTCAAATCTATTTATTTTTTTGTCTTTTGCCTTTGAAGATAATTTTGCACATAAGTAAAATCAGAACCAAAAAAAAAAAAAAAAAAACATTATCGGGTTGGTGGCGCGAAATAAAATAAAAAAAAAAAAAAAAAAAAAAAAAAAAAACATTGTAGATGAGGGATGTAATCAGTTAAAAGTATTGTATAAGTAGGAATCCGGATCCTCGGCCGCCCTCCCCTGTCACTCTCCAAAACGACGTCGTTTTGGAGGTTTTTTTTTTGGGGGGGTTTATTGGGTACTGTATGTTACAAACTGAAATGAGGAGAACTTGCCGAACAGAAACCAGAGAGGAGGGGAAGAAGAGAGAGAGGAAGGGAGAAGAAGAGGGGAGAAGAAGAAGGGTGGCGGGTTCCTCTCCATCGTCCACCCCAAGATGGAGGAATCTCTGTTCGGAGACTCTGTTCGCCTGGTCCGGCCGGATCTGGAGCCGCTACGGTTACTCGCGGCTGCTCCTTCGACCTCACCACCTTCCGAGGCCACTGCGCCACCGGTGACTGCGGCGGCGCCCTCTTCTTTCTTCTCCCTTTCTCTCTCTCTTCTTCCCCTCCCCTCTGGTTTCTGTTCTATTTTTTTTTTTTCAAATTGAAATTTCCCCCAAAACATCTCCACCGGCCTCCTTTTCGGCAATTGAAATTTAAATTGCAATCTGAAATGAGGAGAGAGAGAGAGTTATCAGTGAGGTCATCGTCCTCATTATGGACTGAAGAGAAAGAAGAAGAAGAAAAGAAAAAGAGAAAAAAAAAACTTTCCAAAACAACGTCGTTTTGGAGGGTGGCAGAAGATCCGGATTCGTATAAGTAGATGTAGATGTGACGCCTCAATTTTTTTTTTGAAACGTCATAAGATTTAAATAACAATAACTTGCTAGATAAAATTTTAACTACTAATTAGGAAATTTTATTATTATATTGAATCCTAATTAAAATAATTTATAAACAACAAATATTGAACACCCACAAAATTATTATTCTTAATAATGTCTTGTTAGTGATTGAATTGAGTCGATTTAAAACTAACTTTTATACTAATATATAATTCAGATAGATTGTGGACAATTTCTTTAAAGAATAATTAAAAGATGGGTTTTCACAGTAGAATTACCTACAAACCTAATGTGTACCATATCTATAAGGACAGATGTAGAGTTTAACCCAATGGTCTTGTAACAAGAAGATTTATTGAGCTATAAAAATATTCATAAAACTAATTGAGATTTATGTATAGAAAAAATAAGGGCGAATTACATTAGCGGTTCTTATAGTTTGTGATTTATGTCATTTTGGTCTCTGATTTTTCAATTGTGACACTTTGACTATGAATTTTGAATTTTATTCCAAATAACGATAATTGAAGATATCATTGTTTAATTTTAAGGGTAAAATCATCAATTTAATAACATATAAACTAATTTGAAAAAAATAAATGTCAAAAAAATATTTTTGAATTTTTAATTTTTTTTAACCTACTAAAGATAAAATTATGTAAAATTGATAAATTTTTTAGACATTTTTTTACTAAGTTAATTTTTATTATGTGTTTGAATAATGATCATGTAATGGGTGATTGTTTTTATTTTCATTAAATTAATTTTTATTTTTCCAAAAGTCAAGTATAGTGACAACTTTAATATCGTTATTAAAACAATTCATTAACTTAAAAAATCCAAAACTAAAAGCATTTTATATATTAAATATATCGATTACATATTAAAATTTTAACAACCATCAATTACATGATCATTATTCAAACACATACTAAAAATTAATTTGGTAAAAATAAATAAATAAATAACTAAATGGCCAAAAAATTTATCAATTTTACATAATTTTATCTTTGGTGTGTAGACATAATTTTTTAAAATTTAAAAATATTTTTTTGATATTTGTTTATGTCAAATTAGTTTATATTTTATTAAATTGATTATTGGGGTGTTTGTTTCAGTTTTTCAGAGCCAACTTATGGTTTTTAGCTTTGAAAAAGTTATTTTGAACTGTTTGGTTAAACCGGACTAACTCCGAAACCGGCCTTCTCAGAACATACTGTGACCGGACTAACTCTGAGACCGGCCTAACTGTGAGTTGCCTCCAGACCGGAGTCGTTTTACTCTTCCTTGGGCCGAAGTAACTATCTCTTCTTGAGCCGGAGTAATTTCACCTCCTTGGGCCGAAGTAACTTTGTCTTCTCAAGGCCGGAGTAACTTTGCCCTTCTGGGCCGGAGTATCTATTGCGGCCTTCTTATTTAGTCCTTCGCGTTTTGGGGCCTCAATGCCCAACTCGCAGCTCGGCCCAATTTTTCCCAAAAAATTACCCTCTCAGTGTCATAATTGAAAAGTTAAGGATCAAAGTGGAGAGCTTCTATTTGCACATTCCTATTCCCCTCTTTGCACACATTTAATAATAATTATTTTTATTATAATTTTGTTTTTAAGTGAAATTACTATTATGGATATCAAATAAACACATTCGGAAGTTGAATGTCGAAAAAACAAAAAAAATTTGGAATTTTACTTTCGAACAAGTTGTTTATTTTCATAATGCTACTTCCGAACCAATTGTTTATTTTCGAAATACTACTTTCGAACAAATTATTTATTAAAAAAGATGTATATGGAGTGTAATGGGTGTGTGTAAATAGAAACTCCCATCAAAGTGACACGAGTTGTAAATTATAGGGACTATTAATATAATTTATCTAAAAAATAATTTGATTACTAAATTTCCCTAATATTTATAAATAAATTCTTATACATAACAGTGTGAACAGAAATTTTCAATTAATGTACTTAATTATAATAAATCTACTATTTAATACCTTGGAAAGTGTAATCCTCCCAAAAACACACCCACAACCATGGTTGGTCAATTTACATTTTAATTTTTCATTTTATACAAATCACATTACAACTGTTTCATCAGAGCAATATTTTATACAAATCACATTACAACTGTTTCATCAGAGCAATAAATTAAAAATGGTTCGAACAAAGTCCCATTTAGATCACAACAACAATAACTGGTTAGAACAAAGTCCCATTTATATCACACCTACATACCCCTCTCTCTCTCTCCCCTCCTGAGTCCATTCATCCTCACCTTCTCCCCCCTCTGTCCCCTTTCTTTGGTGAGACCCCTTTTCCTTCTCTCTCCTCCTTCAAGGGGTCGCCCCTCTCTCTCTCTCTCTCTCTCTCTCTATCTAAAAACTCAAAACCCAGAAAAAGATCCAGAAGATGTCGGAGATGGCACAGACAGATCCAGAGGGAATTGACGGAGTTCGCATGACATGGAACGTTTGGCCTCGCACAAAAGTGGAGTCAAGCAAGTGCGTGATCCCAATCGCCGCCTCAATTTCTCCGATCCGATCCCACCCCGACATCCCCACTCTCCCCTACGCGCCGCTGCGCTGCAAGACTTGCTCCGCCGTCCTCAACCCCTTCTGCCGCGTCGACTTCGCCGCCCTCATCTGGATCTGCCCCTTTTGCTTCCAACGCAACCACTTCCCCCACCACTACTCCGCCATCTCCGAAACCAACGTCCCTGCCGAGCTCTACCCCCAATACACCTCCATCGAATACTCTCTCTCCGACCCTTCTTCGTCTCCGATCAATCCTCCTGTTTTTTTGTTCCTTCTTGATACTTGCGTCATCGAGGAGGAATTAGGATTTGCCAAATCCGCGTTGAAGCAAGCGATCGGCTTGTTGCCTGATAATGCGTTGGTTGGGTTTATTTCTTTTGGGACTCAAGTTCAGGTTCATGAATTAGGGTTTTCGGATATGTCCAAGGTTTATGTTTTTCGGGGTTCCAAGGAATTGTCCAAAGATCAGGTTTTGGATCAGTTGGGGCTTGGATTGGCCGGTCGGAGGACTGGGCCGGGGTTTCAGAAGGGGGGACAGAGCGGGTTTTTGGCCAATTCGGGGGTTACGAGGTTTTTGTTGCCTGCTTCGGAATGTGAATATACTCTCGATTCGGTTAGATATTGTACTGTGATTGTGGGTTGGTTTTCAATTTTTGATCATTGATTTGCTTGACTGAAATTGGGTTTTGATTTGTGTGATTTTTTTAGCTGTTGGATGAGTTGGGCACAGATCAGTGGCCTGTGGCACCAGGTAACCGGGCATTGAGGTGCACTGGAGCGGCATTGAGCATTGCAGGGGGTTTGCTTGGAGCTTGTTCAGCTGGCACTGCTGCTAGAATTATAGCTTTGGTGGGCGGTCCATGCACGGAAGGGCCAGGCACCGTAAGTCCTCTGATTGTTTTGTTACATTTGTTTTACATGGTTGTAGTAACTAGTATTACTACCGGCATGTTTCCAATGCTGTCATTAGCTACTTAGTTGATAAAGTTTGTTTTGAGCTAGGAATGTAATAACCATGGTTGTTAGAATTGACATGAGTTTTAACTAAAACTATTCCATTTGTGCTATTAAATTTTAAATTGAGTGCATCATACGATTCTATTGCCATTCACTATGAATCATTGTGATTTTCTACGATTCTCTGTGATTTAGTTTTGTTTACATTATGTAGGAAGAAATGGTATTGTTTTCACAATAAAAAAAGATATCAATTAATTATATTGATATACTCGATTTTCTATGTGTATACATATATAAATTATATGTTATGTTAAACGAAGTGAATATTACGATTCACTATTTTAGCAAAACGATTTATGATTCGATTCGCTGTTTGACAACAATGACAATAACAATAACATGTTATGTCTTTATTGACTTGTATTTTGGTGATAGTCTATGTATCTGTGGTGGATCATGGATTTTGTTTCTATACCCCATCCACAATTTTGATATAGCACAACTTATGGTTGATTGGAGAACATGATTATCTCCAAATAATTGCAACATATAGCTATTTTGTAAAATTTTTCTTTCAATTTTGTTGGTACTCATTGATCACATAATATACTAGACGCACTCCTCCACTTGGGCTAACCTACTTTGATTCTATGGATCACATCATCTTCAACCTCATCGTCCTTATTTATAATCGAACCTAAGGAACGAAAATATCACTATTTATTTCTCACTATTTTTTATATTTTTAAATTTTTTTAAACATTTTGTCAATTACCAAACGCGTTTGTAGTTTATATTTTTTTAAAAATAAACAAAAAATAAACAAAAACCAGTTTATAAATTTTTTGTAAATATAAACTGAAAACGTAAACGTTACCAAACACATCCTAAGTAACGAAAATATCACTATTTGTTGGCGCCTAGCTTTCAATCTTCATTTCTCCATTTATTCTTATACTTTCTCTAAAGTTAAATCCCATATATTTAATTTTATTTCTATTAATTTTAAAGCCTTTTAACTTAAGTGTGTCTCTTCAGATTTCTAAGTTAATGTTAATTCCTTCCTTAGTTCCATCCACTAGAACAATTTTATTTGTGAACAACATACACCATAGAGCATCTTCCTTAATATGTTTAGTTAATTCATCAATGAGCAAGGCAAATAGATAGTGTCAAAGTTTACTATTGATGTAACCCTTTAGGGATTGGAAAATTCACTAGTTTCTCCTTTAGTTGATCTAATTTTAGTCACAACACTATCATACATGTTTTTTATTTGGTCATACCTTTTTCTCCTACACTCACATATTATATCTCTAGGTACGCTATCGTAAGCATTTTTTAAATCTGTAAAACCCATTCGTAGATCCCTCATTTTTTCTTTGTACTTTTCTATTAACCTTCCTAATAAATATATTGCTTCCGTAGATGATCTACCGGGCATAAATCAAACTAATTCTCTAACACTATTGTTGTAGTCCTTAAGCAATGCTCAATAACTCTCTTACAATTTCATTGTATGATCCATTAAATAAGTGCCGCTACAATTGTTGCAAGTTTGGATATCTCCGTTATTTTTATATATAGGTACTAAAGGGAAAGGAATGGAGAGAAACAAAAAGAAAGGAATGTAATTGTACCTTTAAAATGTTGTACTCTCTTAGTCATTCTAAAGCACTTACTTTGGATGATATAGTTTGGGTGGGACGATAGTGTTATATTTGACCTTTTAATCTTCTGCACCTATGTCCTCTAACAAATACAACAAATTCTAAGTTAATTGAGACTTAACAAGATCATTGGTCGTGGATGTTGAATTATAATATGCTTAGTAATTAATTTCCGTTATTATCTGCTAAGTTAAAATTAAATGATCTGTGCATGCTATTTGAGTAATTCTTGAACTGATTGGCTTGCCATCAGTGTTGTCACTTAAATATAGAAAAATGACCATAAAGTCAATTTTGTTAATTCTATTTATAATAATGAAAAACAATTAGTTTCTTAATGCTCTACTTTGTGCTGGACAATATTAGCTTTTGTCTTTTTGGTGTCTCTCAATATTTGATTACTTATTTGTTCTTTTGCCTCCCAACACAGATTGTATCAAAAGATCTGTCGGATCCAGTGCGTTCCCATAAAGATCTTGATAAGGATGCAGCTCCATATTTTAAAAAAGCAGTCCAATTTTATGAGGAACTTGCAAAGCAACTGGTCAGCCAGGGTCATGTTTTAGACCTTTTTGCTTCCGCACTCGATCAGGTTTTTAGTAGTCTTTAAGACATGGTTATGCGTTCTACCATTTTGGGGCATATTATTCTACTTTGAAACTTTGCTTGTGCTTTTGCAATTTATTCATAATGTTTTTTTTTCCCCTTTTCTGAAAATATGAAGACAGAAGTCATCTGTCTTGAGTTTGATGGATTGCATGTCTTGTGTGGGTCTCAACTTTTTACAGTGATTCATTTGCCATATCTTTTCATTTTTCATTGCTTATGTTTCCTATGTTTTAGTCCATGTTGCATGTTTTTCTTCAAGGTGACTTGATTTAAATTTGACCAATTCGTTATGTTGATGTATTCTTACCTGTGTTATTCATTGCTTGCATTTTATGCCTTACCTATCTGAGGCTATTGTACTTCTACCAAAGCTTTCGTTAAATGTTGTAGTAACTTCTTACTCTTCCCTTAGCCTTTTTTCAAGACTGTCACTGGTCTTGTCTTATGTTACAAACCATTTGATAAATGAAACTACTTGTTTTCTTGTTATCTCTTATTGGTTGTAGCTAGTTTCAGGTTTTGTTTTGATAGACTTGAGGCATTTGCAAGATAGCTGTTAGTACCATCATGATAGCTGATTAGGAAGCTGTGTAACCCAATTAGAAGACAAATGCAACTAAGCCAAAACTTTACAAGTTCTAAAGTTGATGTATAATTGATTCGTTACATGTGATGTATCTGCCTTGGACTTTTTGAATCATTGAGGAATAAAACTGTTGGAGGAACAAAATGCAAAATGATCAATGTGAGATGAAAGGCTTTTGTTGCATGTGATACATTCCTTGCTATCTTGTGTGGGTAATTTGTGGCATATTTTTTGCTGGAGTATCCCATTTGGAACTCAAGGAATGTTTGCCGAATTCTTGACATAAAGATACTAATTGTTGTTGCCTTTACTTCGCTGTAGATGTGTGCATTGTCGTGCTATGATCTAATCTAGTGTAAGTTTTTAGGTTGGAGTTGCAGAGATGAAGATTGCTATTGAAAGAACTGGTGGCCTTGTTGTTCTAGCAGAAAGTTTCGGTCATTCTGTTTTTAAAGACTCATTCAAACGTGTTTTTGAAGATGGGGAACAATCTATTGGCCTCTCCTTCAAGTGAGTTCATCATTGATGAAACATTTGAAAATATTATTACTTATCTATTATTTTCTTTTAATTGTTTATTTACAGTATAGTTGTGTTATTGTGATTTGTGATTCTTGTAAGCTTGTATCCTTGGCCTCTGATTATTTAATCACTATATTTTTTTTGATCAGCAACAAAAAGAATTTTAAATTAATCACTATGAAATGACATTGGTTTAAAGTTTTTTAATCATCATATTTAAGCTCAAAATAATTTTTCTTTTAAATCCGTGCATCACAAATACCAAAATCCAGCGCTGCCATTCATATTATATTGATATATTTTACATGATTGTTATTTCAAGTCAACAATGTCTCGTTTGGCCTAGGCATTTTGTGTGTTTGTGTGAATGTGTTCCTTTGGACTTAATTTTCTGTACAGTAGTCGGTAAATGTCTCCTTCGAATCATATTTCACCTTGTAGAGATGTCATTTCCTTGCAAGTTAAGTGTATGGTCAAATGAAACCTGAAGAACTCCATTAGTCAGTAAAGCTAACACTAAGCGGCCAGACTCCTTCCCTATTTTCTCAAATTTTCCATTGTTCAAGACATAAGGTTGTGCTTGGAGGGTTTCTTAGGGGAAGACCTGTGTTTTTCACTCTTATACTTTTTGGTGAGTTTTGCAGGTTTCAACGTGATAGTCTTGCCACCATGCATAAATACGTAGGTATTCTTTCTCCCATTATTAGGCATACCTTTATCATAAAGCCAAGGATGGCCTAGTAAGTTGAGCAACATCTATAGGTAGACATCAGACAAAATACTAAGGCAGATTGAAACTGATGTTGACGTCTATGGATCCATCACATATTTTATATGACATGGACAGTGATGAATAGTTGATTTGGAGACCACAATCTGGTACTCCCACGACCTTACAAACACTATTCCTGCATTTCACAAATATGTGAAAATTGCTGGTGCACATTCACTCATCCTATAGGAGTAGAAAAAAAAAGGCTCCTCATAGTCATAAGTCATGACACTAATGTGGGTGTCGTCATTACATACAATATCCTGACCCTCCTTGGTTGATATCCTCTCCTACATCCTCCAACTCATGATCAATGGTCAATATGCAACATGGACATTGAGTGACAATGTGCCCCTCACCATGGCAGTGATGACATATAATGGAGGAGGTAGATTGATGAGAACTAGAGAGAGGAGACTGATTACCCTTCATGCTGGTGACAGTCAGCTTAGGGTTGTTGCTACCCTTGGGAGCAACTGAGGCAACTGATCTAGATGTGTATAGCCACTCGATCTACCAAAAGAGACATACTTAGGCTGCTGGCCCTCACCGGTTTGAGAAGTCTTTCACCTCTATGTCGGAAGCTAATGGTACTGCTCTATCTCTAAAGCCCTTAAGATATGCTTCATCTGATGTGTCAGGTGAGTGCAAATTAACCTCTGTTATAATCTCAAATCTTGGCCCATTAATGAACTTGTTCTCACACTTTATTAGTAGTTCCACAAACTTACCTTTGTAGTTAGTCACACTGGAGAACTATTTTCAAATTAATTCACTGATTAAATAATTGCCTCCTATAGTAGGTAGGGAGATCGTTCTCTTCTAACTTTTGTTACTTTCTTCAACCCATAAAGTAATGGGCTCTTGCCCTGAATGCTCCAAATTCCTTTGAACTCCCTGCCAATACCATTGCAGAACCGATGAGTTTCATCTTAGCAAAATGAACCATTTGGTTATCTGACATGTTATAGGGGCATCTACTTTGGCCTTTTTCTTTTTGTGATATCTCTTGCATCTACAAGGTAATACTTGGGTTGGTCATGATGGTATCTCTATGGAGAGTGCCACTGGCATCTCTCTTGGTGTCTACCCTTCAGTCTAGGTGGTCTACAGTGATGCAACACCAAAAAGAACAATAAAGAGAGAGGTGTATTCAGATTTTTTCGACAATCCAGCATGTGGATGTCACACCTGATTGCAGATTAGTGTCCATGTCACAACCATGTGGGAGTCACTTGGTGGTGGATATTGTTCTGACTCTGCCATTCATTTTTTATTTTTTTACATTCATTTGAATAGAACTTGCATTACCAGTAAGTGGATGTCACTTGCAAAATTAAGAATTATGTTCATTTCATGACCTTGTGGTAGTTGTATTGTAAAATGTTGTATTTTTATTGCTTGGCTTTGTGATTCATTTGCCAAAAATTGCATTAAAATCAGTAAACACTGAAGTCTAAACTGTGTATGTTCAAGGTTGCCCTAAAGTAATATACCTTTGTGTGGTAAGTAAAATTTTGGTCTCTTTATTCTGTGCATTATGTGTTTATGCATATGTACATCTAGACCTTTTGTTTCTGTTACTTTTCGCTTAAATTCCTTTAACTTTGATGTTGGATTATGTTTAGGCTTTATAAACTCAATACTGATTTGTTTTATCAAAATAAATAAATAAATAAACTCAATACTGATTTGTTTCTTCCAGTGGCACACTTGAGATCAATTGTTCAAAGGATATTAAAATTCAGGGGATCATTGGACCTTGCACATCTTTGGAGAAGGTTGGTTCATTTAATATTATCTGTCTGATTTTCTTTAGGATGAAGATCATGTACCTGTAATCAAACAGCTATTCTCTGCTTGTCTGCTTAGTAGAATTTGGATTAAATTTTATTTGTAAGGTTGGTACTAATTACGGTAAGCCTTGCAGAAAGGACCAGCTGTTGCCAATACAGTCATAGGACAGGGAAACACTACATCCTGGAAGATGTGTGGCCTCGACAAAAGTATTTGCTTGACCGTTTTCTTTGATATTTCATCTAGTGAAAAGCCAGACCCTTCAGGAAATTTAAATCCAATGTTATACATACAGATCCTTACAAGGTATGTAGGTGATATTATCTGCAAGCTTGTTTCTTATCAGTCATGTTAATCTGCTTCTGTACTCGATACAGCTTATATAAATCTAGGAAGCATGGACACACCTACTAGTGTTTTGTGCCTGTGTCCAACGTGTCGGGCATGTCATTTGTTGGACACATCCAACACGTGTCAAGTACGCATCCATGTGTATCATATATATATAATTTTCGAAGACCGGACACAGATACATGTGAAACACATCCCCAAGTTTTACGAAAATAAATTTTAAGACATAAAAAATTCTCCCTTTTGGACTTATAAATGTTTGATATTCTAAATGTTCACAATTTCCAATTTCAGTGCAAATACTTGAGGATTTTGAAAGAAAGAGATTAGATCAAAAGAGATTAGGACATTCTATATTCCTAATTCTTTTCCAGCATATAAATGTAGACAAATGCAGTTTTTTTCTATCATATCATTAAATAGTTAGAAATGAAATACAGATGTAATGTAAAAAATAAGAAATTTGCTTTTATATTATATAAATACATAATGTGTATAAATATTTATTTGTTACTGTATCCTTGCTGTGTTTGCCTTAATATTTCAAAAGTTGCTGTGTTAACATGTTCATATTGTGCTGTATCTGTGTCCCATTTTTGTGGCCACGTCTTAGATATAAATACATCGATTTGCTTTTCCTTTCAAAATGAATGAATATGCTTCTTATGCAATTATTTTATGTTGGTTAAATATTGAAATACAGTTACCAAGTTCCTGATGGTCAAACAAGGCTGCGAGTTACAACCATTAGTAGAAGATGGATAGATAGTGCTGCTAGCTCAGAGGTATGATGGTAAAAAGTTCTATTTGTGTCATATTTGTTGTACAGTGAGAGCCATTTTTTCGGAAGTGTACTGGACCAATAGAATCATTTGTCTGAAAATTTACAGGTGCTTATGTTTTATATATGAAACACTGAAACTACGCACTCAAGTCACTGTCTTACAAATCTTCTTTTTGGTGTTTCTTGTATATTAGGTTAGTTTTTGTGTTTGTTTGGGGCCCATTTTGTTTGAAAGGAATATAATCACTCTTTAGTTGAAATTAAAATTGATAACAAGGTATGCATTATCTTCTTAAGATCTTATAACCTTGATCCTTGGACAAATGATCTCAAATTCTGAGTAAGGATCTATAAACATCTGAAATAGTTTAACTTCACTGATTTGAGGCCATCTTTAGGTTCTTTAGCTTTGTTTTTCATTGCCATCTTTGGTTCCAATTCAAAAATTCTTGGGCTTGAGTCCATAAGGTCTTCAGTTAAATTATTATCTCATCTGAGTTTGTGAGGTGAACTGAATTTGACTCCTGGAAGTTTATAGTTTCCTTTATTTTTTTCCTTATGAATAAAGGATATAGTTTGAGACTGAATTTTCCAATGCATGATGTCTTATCTCTTGTTATGTTTCGTTTGAGGCGATGCATACATTAATCTCCTGTTTTTCTCCCTAGCAATTGTTGAGGAGGCTTGATTCTTTCTGCATTTTAAATTTTGTGGGAATTGCTTCGGTGAAGAGGTTAATGCTGACATCAAAGACTTTGGCCTTTACAGGAATTAGTTCAAGGATTCGATCAGGAAGCTGCTGCTGTAGTGATGGCAAGATTAACTTCTCATAAAATGGAGATAGAGGTATTTCACAAATTTCGGAAAATTGTCTAAAAGTTTTTAGGCAGACACAAACTGGCAGTGACACACAAATGAAATGTATACTTAATTCAGCTCTTGGTGCATTACTTGTCATGGCTTCATGTTTGAGTCTGTTTTCATTTATCATTGGGAGGAAGAATGGTGATTGCATCACACTATTGCTTTTCTATGAGGACAGAAACTGTCCTGAAAAAACTCAAAATTATACTTGAGAATCAGATTCTGTTTAAGATCTCTTGTTATTTTGCATCAATCAAATTACTTATTTTTCCTTCTGATCTAAGTACACATTGTAACTTTGTTTTTGTTCTCTGCCTTTTCCTGATGTTTCTATTTCTTGTTCCTCATGTCACTTTTGTCATTATATAACTATGTTGTCGACTTATTTATGGATTTTGCATTCTTCAGGAAGGGTTTGATGCCACACGGTGGTTGGATAGGAATCTTATTCGTCTGTGTTCCAAATTTGGTGACTACCGGAAGGACGATTCAACGTCTTTTACATTAAACCCATGTTTTTCATTGTTCCCTCAGTTTATGTTCAACCTGCGGCGGTCACAATTTGTGCAGGTAATTATGACCTTTTTGATTCGTTTCCCCATCAGTTTTAAACTTGTATATTATATAATGCACATAATTCTTGTTTTTCTTTTCCCTCTCATCTTTTCTTGGCAGGTTTTTAACAATAGTCCAGATGAGACGGCCTATTTTCGCATGTTGTTAAACAGGGAGAATATAACAAATGCTGCGGTCATGATTCAGCCATCACTTATATCATATTCCTTCAATTCACTGCCCGCACCAGCTTTGTTGGATGTGGCTTCCATATCAGCCGATCGCATCCTCTTGCTGGATTCTTATTTCAGCATAGTTATTTTTCATGGAATGACAATAGCTCAGTGGCGGAACATGGGTTACCAGAATCAGTCTGAACACAAGGTATGTGCCCGTTATAACCATATACTCCCTCCTCTTTTTCAGTGAGTAAAAATTTGGACCGTTTCTTGATTTGTGCAGACAACGAATATTTGGCCTATGTTTTATGATAGGCACATGAAAGCATTGGGCTAGGCATATAAACGGATCACAGGTTTTGACAAAATCCGATTCGATCCAATTATATGTTCACCTGAATCCGAATCCAATTGCCCAAATCTGCTAACGAGCCATCTGAATCCAATTCGATTTATATGGATATCCGATCCACAAATCCGATCTGATCCTGTTTTTTTTAACCTGTTACCAAAATTCCTTTTGTTTCTTACCTCGTAATGTTGTTGGTTTCTTTATAAACATATCAAAAGTATTCTCTGGAAGAAAGAATTGAGTTGAATAAAACAAAGATTTTTTTTTTCTTCCTCTCAAATCAATAGATATAAACTGTATCCAAATGGGTTTCTGACCTAAATTAGTGGTTTGTCAACAAATTCCAAGGAAAATCAAGGAGGAATGAGAATTCCAATCTCAAATTCAGCAAAGTTGAAACTACAAATCAGATCAAACATAGAAGATCCTACATACTAGAAAAATAAAAACAAGAAACAGAAAGCAGCCTCTTGATCTCAATTCGGATTTCAATCCCAAATCTCACTTTGGCCATTACAATTTGGAGGCTCGATAATCAATCTTCAGTGTTGATGGAGGCTCGATAATCAAACTTCAATGTTGGAAACCCTATTATGCACTACAGATCTGAGATTGTTTCGCAAAAGAAAGTGAGGAAGACGAGATTGATTATGTATTGAAGATCGAGAAATCCAGATCGCAGGTTGTACCTTTTGGACAGAGAGAGAGATAGCGTTTAGATCTTCTAGGGCTAGTTCAAACTGTAATCGGATTTGGATATATATTCAGAGCAGATCAGATTTGTCAGGATCCGTATCATTTAAAATCAGATTGTGGATTTGGATTAATCGGATTCAGATTTTAATATAAGGATCAGATTACTCAGAAGTGAACACCTCAGTGTTGGTACAATCTGTGTAATGCTAATTTTATTCAAATAAAAAATACTTTAACAATTGTTTAAACTATTATTATTAGTACTTGTCTGGGAAAAAAATAAAAGAAAACCACATTTTTAAACAATTCAATTTCCCATCCTCCCTAAGCCACCTCTCCCACTACTTTATTTTGCACATGCATCGTGTGTGCATGATCGTTAGTTAATATCTTTATATGGAGATACTTGTTGCAGAAATTGCTTTCACTCATTTATGTAGTTCTTTATTTATTCATTTATTTAATTTATCAGATAAAAAGTTATTGTTAATCCAGCCTCTCTGGATCTATTCAATGGAAGTGAGCTATGTTCTAAAAAAAAAAGCAATATATATTTTTATCTGTATGTGAATCGGATCTTTTTTTCTAATGAATTGCAACTTTTCCCCTTGTAGGCATTTGCACAGTTATTGCAAGCTCCTCACGATGACGCTCAAATGATCATCCAGGACCGTTTCCCTGTCCCAAGATTGGTCATCTGTGATCAGCATGGTTCCCAGGTGATAATTTTGTGCTTACCTCTAGTTCATCAAGATAGACCTTGCCATGATATATATTATGTGTTTGCATGTTTGAGTGAAAAAAGAAAAAAGAAAAAAGAAAAAAGAAAAATAAATGCCCTGAAGCTTTCTGTTCTCAGAAATTTAAAGAATAGAAAATAGAAGTGAGAATTCATTTGGTTCAGTTTCTGTTCTCAGAGTTGCAAAAAAAAAAAAAAGGAAATAAAAATAAGCCTCAAATTCAATTGCCTCAATATTTTTACCACCTTGTCAGCCTAAAAAGTAAATTGAAATCAGCCTGAAAACCTACTTTTTCGCTGCTTCGTATTAGTTTTGAGCTCACTATTTGCTAAGCTATCAATTTTGATACGCCCTAGTAGAGTTGTACCATTCATCTTCTGTTCTTATTTTGTCCTATCATTCAATACATCATTGTATGTTTTCTCCTTTTTCCTGTTCTTTTTGATAAGTAAGATATCATCCTGGTTCATACTAAAGTTGCATATGAATACTTTGACTTAAGCTGGCAAATTATTTTCTTGTGCTTTCAATTCAAATAGATCTACTTGTTCCAAAACAAGGTCCACATGTACACTTGGCTCTACTGGGCCTAGGAAGAATCTTGAAAATTGCTTCCTTTATAAAGTTTTTCCCAGGCTTTTTTCTTCCTGTTTGTTTTCTCCGAGGTTCAGGTTGAGCCTTAGTTTTCATATGATGAGTTTAGAACTTAATGACATATACTTAATTATTTGACACAAACCATCATCCACTGAACTGAACTTAAATTTTTTTTTAAAAAAAAAAACTAAGAATCCTACAGACAGCGTAAAGGCAGTTTTTGGTAACAAAATTTGATTGGCTGCCGAGACTTTCAGGCTAAGAACTGGCTGCTTTTAATGGCTTCATTGTAGACTAGTAGGTTATCAGGTGTATCTTCCTAGTATTTTTTATTTTAATTATTGTAGGGTGCTTTTCTAATTTTGTAAATTTTGGATTGGATTATCAGTACACAATCCCTTTATATATTTCTTTTTCTTGTAGAATCTTGAAATAGCTTGTATATTTTTTAATTTTAGCATAAAGGGCTGTGTTGCCAAAGCAGTGCACTGGAAATTGATGCATTCCTCTTTACTCATGGAACTAAATTTGTTTTTATGATTTGATGACATGTTGAGCAGGCAAGATTCTTATTAGCAAAGTTGAACCCATCAGCTACATATAGTAACGCTCATGAGATGGCTGCTGGGACAGAAATGATCTTCACAGATGATGTCAGTCTTCAAGTTTTCTTCGAGCATCTTCAGAGGCTGGCTGTGCAATCTTCTTGAGTTGAGACCACAGATAGAGTTGGAGATTTAGTGGCTCATATATGGGTTTTCTTTGTTTTGTGAAAATTCCTGAGTGCAAGAATTCTATCCCCCTCTTGTATCCTCTCATTCTATTAAGATCATCTATGCAATTTCTTTCCCACCATTAAATGAGATGAGAGGTCAGACCCCAACTTTATTCAGACAATAAGGAAAGAGCGTGTCATTCTTTGGACGTGTTGGGGCGGTATTTGCTTCCTTGAAAGAAATAAGGGACAAAAGGTTAGTGAATTTTGAGTTTGTGTATGGGAGAAAAAGATAGGATGAGAATGTAAGTTAAAAGGGCAACTCTGCTCAAGCAGCTGTTTTTTATTTTTTATTTTATTTTTATCCATTGTTATATTTCAATTTTTGTATGCCACACCCAGGTTAGTAGTTTTTCTTCTTCAAGGTATATTGGAATATTTTTAAGTGTTATATACTCACATGGAGCCTCATCTCAGCTCCTAGGTTTGAAAATTTTTACAAACTTGTGAATGTGTTTTTATTGTGTTCTTTTGGAGTAATACAAGTCAAGTATCACAGTCCATTTGTATCTCCAGAATTGTGCTTGAGTTCTGCATGCGTTGGCGGGGTTGATTTGTGCCATCCTAATCTGTTTTTAGACTCCCATCAACTTTCTATCTCTGCTGTCAATTTTTTTGTTTTTTTTTGTTTTAATGAAAGAAATTAAAGGATGGGGCATGGGAGGTAAAGTAGGTATTCGGATTCAGGTTTCCTGGGTCGTTTTGTCTCACTGTTTCTGCCATCAGGGCTGTGGCTCGGGCTTTTTAATTGGTTCGCATTTGGGTGCTACAAATGTGGAAATCTGGATAGATTGCCTTCTCTCGGTTAAGGGCTTGAAAACTCAGCACACTGCGGATTGTTACTTGCAAGATTTTTGATCTCTATGTGATAGATTTCTGTTAATGTAGTAATCTTGAAAATAGCTAGGTCTGACTTCCTACTCAGTCTGGTTAAAGGCTGTATTGGAACTAAGAGTAGATCTCTAATGGTGCTTGATGTTTTGGAATCTCTAATGGTAAGATCAGAGACAACAATTAAGGCCCCATTTGTTTCCAGAGATAGAACGGAGGGGATTGATAGTGAGGGGATTGTTAGTGAGGGTCGTTTGTTTTCAGAGATAGATTGGAGGGGATTGATAGTGAGGGGATTAATAGTGAGGGAATTAATAGTGAGGCATTGTTAAATTAAATAATGTTAACTTTTTAACTTTTTGAGTAATTTTTTGACTTTTTTTAAAGTCCCCAAACTGTATTGGAACTAAGGGTAGATCTCTAATGGCGCTTGATGTTTTGGAATCTCTAATGGTAAGATCAGAGACAACAATTAAATACATAAAGATTTCTTTGCAGAGATTCCAATTTATGCGGCCAACATCTTTCAAAGGCATTTTTAAGTTAATTGATCATTATTTATTAGTATCTTAAATATTCGTACTTTAGCAAAAAAATGATCCATTAGTGTTAGGGGTGAGCAGCGGATATACCGATTCGTCAAAACCGATCGAACCGAACCGATCCGCCGCATTTTGGACGAATGCGTGATGACGAGCGGACGGTTGTGGATTGATTTTCTCCAATCCGCCAATTTAGCGGACGGATGGCGGATTTGAGATTCCTTTGGCCGCAATCGAATCGCCAAACCACGAGCATCCCTAGTAATTTATAAAATTTTGTGTTTTCAGTTTGTTTAAATATTTTGTTTGTGATTTCAATTAAAAAAGAATTTAAATATTCTGTTTAAAAAAAGTTTTCAACTTGAATATCTTTTTTGAATTGAAAAAATAAACGTATTATTTATCTATATTTTTTGATTTTTAAATCTATCTCTAAAAATAATAAATAGAAAATATGATATATGCTGGTTGATTTTTGTTTTCAAAAACAGATATAGATATAACAATACTATTGCTCTCTTTATGGTTTTGGTGGTTTGAATTGTTTTTATATTTTAAGAATTGCAGATTGTAATACTTTATGTGGATGATGCATGCTGTGATTGTAGTATGTGGATGAGGCATGCAGTGATTGTGATATTCTAAAATTTCAAACTTTCTTGCTTTGGATGAGACATGCAATGATTGTAATATTTTTTAAGTCATTGACTGTAATAGTTGAATTATGTTGAAAATTTATAAAATTTCAAACCGCCAAACCGATTCATATCCATTCGCCAAACCGCCAATCCGCTCAATCCACATCCGGCGGATTTGGCGGACGGATGCGGATTGATTTTCTCCAATCCGCCAATTTGGCGGACGGATGGCGGATTAGAGGTTCCATGGCAGCAACCGACCCGCGCCCACCCCTAATTAGTGCGTTTAGATTATTTGGTGTACAGAAGACGACAACAATACTTTGAGTTCTTTAATACAACGTGTCTTTTGATACTGTGAACAAGTTATTGAGAATCGATAAAAGCATTGCAATTTAGTTTGTAAATAAATATTGAAGAGTGATTGTTGTAATTTACAAAAGAAGTATATTTAAGATCACCAAATGTGGCAAATATATGGAGATGGGAGAGGCTTCTCTCTAGTTTGGTTTTCCAATTAGAGGATGTTATTGGTCTTTGTTAGCCCACCACAAAGCCCACATTAATGATCCGAACAATTTAAATGTTTAGGACTCATCAAGTACTTCATCTTTGTAAAATATTATGTTGATCGGATATCAATAGTCACTCAATAAGATTATATTTGTGTGAACAATTTAATTTTAAAAGCATAATTACTGTTAACACAAATGTGATTTAATCAAATGGTTATCGATATCTTATCAACATAATTTTTTGTAAGGATGAAATACTCAATAAGTGCTATACATTGAACGATTCGAATCACCGATGTAGGCTCCGTGATGAGCCCACAAAACCCAACATATCATATTGGAGAGAAACCTCTCCCTATCCAAATTCCTACAAGAGGGAGATAAATGTAGGTTAGGTAGAACGTTAGAAAGTTTAGAATGTATGCCCTGATGTTGGGAGAATGTCCAACTTCATTGCATGTTTTTTTCAATAGATGGGTAAATAAACTCTCAATTGTAATCGAGAGAATGAGCTCCTATACTTGTGAATCATAAGTTTTGTTCAGAAATTAAATTTTGAATTATATAGTTTTGTTTATATATTAATATTCAAACTAAAAATAATATGTAAATTAAGAGAAAATGAGGTGCCAAAGTAAAAGCTGTCTTTGTTCAAATTAAATAGCATGCGGCATTAAAACAAAAAAAAAGAAAAAAAAGAAAAAGAACATTCAATAGTCTCACTTTTTTTATAGGACTTCTTTGAACCTTTACCGACCCAAATTGCTATCTACCCTTTTTAGTTTTTTATTTTCTTATTTATTCCCTTTGAATTCCTTCCCACCGAATTGAAATGAGGATAAAACTTAAATTTTGTGTTAAAATAAAGAAAAATTTATTTATAAATCTCATATTGAGAAATGGTGATTTGATTAGTCCCAACAAATTTTTTATAGACTAATTAGTCTCATTTTGATTTTGAAAAGGTAAATTTAATATATTATTTAAAAATTAGATTTACGGTTATACTTTAATTTATATTATGTTTTTTTTATTTTTTATTTTTATTATTTATTTTAAAGATAGGTAAGATACGTTAATCAAATTTGGAATGAATTTTTATATGAAAATCCTTTTTATTTGAAATGACTTGAAATGTAAGATTTTTTAAATATTTCAAAAGAAGTACAAAATTAATTTGAAATATGAGATTTTTAAACATTCCAAAAGGATGTAGGATTCTTCAAATATTTAAAAAATAGTACAAAAACTCACTAATAAGTTTTGAACAAATATATAATCTCAATCTGTAACGCTCAAATGTGACACTCCAATGTAACACTAAAAAAAAATCCTTATTATATTTTTTTTCAAATGTAACATTCCAAAAAAACTTCTTAGTATAACACTTTAATATAACATATAAAAAAATTCATTAATGTACTTTTTTCAAACTTAATACTCTGGTGTTTGGGAAGAAAAAAATAGCCTAGTTTAGGCTAAAAATCATAAAAAGACAAAATAGGCTAAAATAGTTAATAAGACAAAATATCACATCAAACCCATAATCATTTCACTTTTTCTCTCACAAACATCACATCCAACCACAAAAAAATCCAATCATCTTCCCAAACATAAAAATTTTAGCCTACTAAAATAGCCAAAAACTAAAATAGCCTACTAAAATAGCCACTTCCCAAACGAGGCCATGTAACACTCCAAAAAACAGATGTGAGATTTTTAGTACTTTTATGTGTTACATTAAAATTTTATGTTTAAAATTATATTGATTGAAATGTTACGTTTGAAAAAAGTATACTAAAGAGTTTTTTTTTGTGTTACATTAGAGTGTTACGTTTGAGAAAAATTTAGAATATTATTGATCGGTGCTTAATTGTTACACATTTAACCTGCTAATATACATTTTATTAGTCTACTTATTTATATTATTTTATAATTTTGTGTAATTTTGTGTGTTGTATATATTTTAGAATTTATACATAAATTAGTGTAAATAATATATTTTAAATATTTTAAATAATATATTATTTTATTATAATATATTTTAATATATACAAGTTATATAATAATAAATAGATAGTCACTCTTAGCATTATTCAACACACACTACCATCCAACATCATCATCTCTTTTCTTTTTCTTTCCCTTTTCTTTTATATTATTTATATTTGTTTGTTTTGCAGGTTCTGAAGTTGTCTATAAATTGGAGGCAAGCCTCGACACACGGGGGAAGACAGCAAGAGAGCTGCGAGCTCTGGAAAGAGAAGAAAAATTAGTATGAAAGTGTAGAGTATTTCTTTTGTACTAAAGTGATAGTTTTATGATTATGTAGAACTAATTTCCTTATTTTAAGATTAAGATGAAACTTAATCAAGTGATTGAGGTAGTTTGTATTTAGTTTTGTAGAGTTTTAATTGATTTGAGTACTGTTGTATAACTTAGATTTTTATACAAATATTGTTTTGTCAAATTATATATGTTCACTGGTTATCAATACATGTTATACAAATAATTTTCATGCTTGTGTAATAAAATTATTAGACGAGCCATATCTAATAAGATGGGTCATGCATCAACCTTAGTTTAGCAGTGACGATCCATTCCATACTAAGCGAAGATGATTCGCGACTTTCTGATTTTGAAACACAAATCTTTTTAAGTGATGTGTCCCCAACAAGATACATCGTAATACCCATTTCAATAATTTTCTACAATCTAAATACAAATAACCCCCATTATAAGATTAATAGTGGATTCTAAGCGTTAAAATTTTCTTTTTATTATCTTTCATCTTGTAGCCATAAATCTTTAAATTAAAGTCAATTTTCACAATCTTTGTGATTTGACATTTGTTTTTAGCCGTTATATTTCGGAGTAGTAGTTATTACTTTGTTTTAAATTAATATATTTTGGTGAGCAAATGACCTACCAATTTTTGGCGTCGTTGCTAGGGACTAAAAATAGAATTGTTTAATTTAGAGATTTATTTATAAAACAAAACAAAAAAAAATTTAAAAAAATAAAAAGTTTAGTTTAGTTTCTTTCTGCAAGAGAAATAAAAGCTTAAACCAAATAATAAAAAATAAAAATAAAAAAATACAAAAATAAAAATAAAATTTTGAGATACTGTGACTTAGGGCGTGCAAAATGAACAAGAAAGCGTTCATTATGGTTCGACTCGTCTCGAATTTTTTTTTGCGTTCAAATTGAGCTCGAGCTGTTTTAAATTTTTAATAAACAAGCCCAACATTCTAAAGCTCGACTCGTAAGCTCGGCTCGTTAGCTGGCTCGTGTTTAATTTTATTATTTTAAATTAATATAAAATATGTATAAAAAATAAGAGAAATATGCTATTATATATTTAAAAAAATATAATGTAAATAATAGTTAACTATAGATAGTACATTATATAATAGTGGTAGTAGATATATTATTTTAGTAAAATATGGACTTTTTAGTATGTTTTATTATATATATTGTATATAATTGTATAATCAAAGTTTTAATTGTAACTTAGTCTCACATATGCATGTATGGATTTATAAAATTTTTGGCTCGTTAGGCTCGTGAACAGGCTCGAGCTCGAGTCGAGCCTAAGCCAACTCGACTCAGCTCGGTTCGTTAAATTTTTATTCAGCTCGAGCTCGAGCTCGTTAAAATCTTAATAAACAAGCCCAAACATACTAAAATTCGGCTCGGCTCGGCTCGACTCGTTTGCAGCCCTAACTGTGACACAGAAAGGAGATAACCATATTAGA